TACTACACGAAACTCTTCTTTGCTAACACAATATATAAGAAAATTTGACTTTGCAAATCGATCTTGGGACTAGCGAATACCGTACATGTTGAGTTATGAAGCCAAAAAATTAAGTTGTTTTTTGAGTAAAATGAAGCGATTACTCTATTAACATATAGAAAAATATAAGAACGTACCATTAAGAGTATTTCATATAATTGAGACATATACTTGATTTTTTATTTGAAGCTTATCTCTATTGTTAGAGAGATTGAGAGTGGTTAGAGCGAACGAGAGTAAGTTTGTAGCTCTAATTTTTTTTTTATCTTAATGAAATCCGCAGTGGTGAAAAATGGACATAACTATCGTTGATATGGTTATAAGAAAAAGAAAAAAAAAAGTATCCAAAACTATCATTAGTATAGTGACGTCCTATAAATCGCGTGGTTTACTATTATTCTTTTAATAACTTTTTGCATTAAGCATAAAGCAAGAGTACATGCAATTACGACAAAATTAAGAATATATCATCTCCTATTTTTACTTTCTTCTGCATTGACAATGCATGTTTGTACATTTACAATACCAGCACATACAATGTGCTTTTAAATGCATGCCTGCATGTATAAACATAATCATGTGAAAAGAGAAGTCCAACTCTACTTTATTATAAAATATACCCACACATTACAAATTAGAAAACTCATAATCTATATTTCAAACCTTATACAGACAATACGCATACATACATGTGTATTTATTTTGTCACTATTTAGTTACTTTCATTCCGTAAACACCCCTTTATACTTAATCAAACCCATAAAGCCCCAGCGCGTTTAAGCATTGGAATGAGAGAACGATTGAGATGGAGACTCATGACTTGATTGGCTCCTCCAACAAGCTGCCCTCCTATGAACACCACTGGCACGGTCGGGCTGCACCCAAGCTGAGCCAATGCTTGCTCTATCTCCTTTCCTCTGGTGATCTCATCGAGCTCATAGATTGTTGGGTTCACCCCAAAGTCTAAGAAGAGAGTCTTGATGGTGTGAGACATGCAACATGAGTTCTTGCTAAAGATCACTACCGACTTATCCGAGATCATCTTCTGTAGCTTCTCCATTAGTGTTATAGTAAGAAAGAGTGTTTAATAAAAGACTTGGAGAGGATGAAATGGGTGTGTTTTGATTGAAATAAAGAGAACGGAAAACTAGAGAACTTTTTGTTTGTTAAAGTTAAAGGAAAGCTAGAGAACTTATAGAGATATTGCAGTATATATCTTTGGGTGAAGATGATAAC